CTTGTTGCCGTCCACGAACGTTGCTGTAAACTGGGTCTCCTTCGATGACTCCCCATTTATCTCTAATGCCCCTCGGTCACACACCGAGTGGGACGCTCCACAATCCACCATTACCTCGGGACGTCGCCCTTTGTAGAGCACCTCGAGGAGTAGTGGTTACTGTCACACCGAATAGCTAAAGATGGTCTCATTAATAGGGTCATGGGCTATATCGAAGTAATCACTTCTATTCCCTACACCCGAAGCTGCACTTTCTACTTCCAACTTCACCTAAGAGATTAAAGAATTCTTCTGATGCCGATTAAACTTCTCCTAGGTGGAACCTTCCCCTAAGCCTTAGCAGCTGTGTTGGCTTCACTTGTGGGGAACAGGGAGCCTTCACACCGTGCTTCTGGGGGAGAATATTAACTCAACGAAACACTCGACCCTTTTGGACACTTTTCCGGTATCGGTACTATTTCGAAAGGCTTTCTCTTAGCCTCGAACTCTCCCTATCCAAAGGCTTGAAAATCATGAGAAGTAATATTTCTACTTAAAGTATCCTTTTAGGATAACATGAACGAGTTTTACACTCATGGGTGTTCGGCTGGAGTTTCTCGATTGGTGTAGAGTCATTTTTCGCGAATCCCCTTTGTGCCTCGGTGAATTCCTCTAGTGCCGGCCAGTCATAACATTTTAAGTTTGTGTCATCATTTTCTCATTTCTTCACCAGCTCCGAAGTCGCCAAGTCGTATCCTTCTTCCCTTTTCCATATCTTTTCACCCCCACCAGCTAGATCTGCGGCTACTGGCAGTTCACATTTTTTTACTTCGGGGTGCTGCACTGTTCTTGCCTTATAATTCTGCATGTGCCTTTTTCATTTTCCAGTACGACAATATTCGATGCCCTGCTGCGCCACTAGATTCGCACGTGTCAAATATCGTCGGCCGCTGCTTTGCGTCGGCTTTGTCCATATCCATCAAGTCGGCAGTTGTGGGGGGTGCCGATCGCTCCGTGCCGAAAGTCTTGTTTGGCATGCTACGTCGTGTTTCGTGTTGACCCTTTCAGCAGCACACACCATGTCCTTGTAGCTGTTGTAGTTCGCGGTGATGACCTGTTGGGGAACTTCGATTTTCAGCCTGGTGGTGTACGCTTGATATTTTTTTCCATCCATTAAGTCGTCGATGCATTAAAAAAAAAAAGATACTTTATCTGATGCGTGTACTGCGCCACATTGACAAATTGCTGGTGTCGGTGAATTTGTTGCCGCGCCATGTAAGACGAATTAATTGGTTCGAAACGTTGAATCAAGACTGCTTGAAACCGCGCCCATGACCCTTCGCCTCGCATTTCATTACTGTATATCCATTCCAATATCGAGCCTCGTAACACTGTCACTACAAGCCAAATCCGCATCGCTCCTGTATCGAGGTCGTGTTAGTAGATCTGCACAGTGGATGCCCGATTGATCCTGGAGAGGGTTACAGGCGCGTTCGCCTGGGGGGTTATGGGCGCACGGACCCGCTACTGAAACAAGCCCTTTTATCCCAATAGTCTAGTGGTTGGGATTCTGACATGGTATCAGAGCGGTCTCGGGTTCGATTCCCGGTGTATGCACATGTAGGCCGTTGCCGCTGTGCTTAGTCCTGGGCCTCCCAGTGTGGGGGGGTGTCAGTAGATCTGCACTGTGGATGCCCGATTGATCCTGGAGAGGGTTACAGGCGCGTTCGCCTGGGGGGTTATGGGCGCACTGACCCGCTATTGAAACAAGCCCTTTTATCCCAATGGTCTAGTGGTTGGGATTCTGACAGGTCGTGCATCCAGCGTCATCGAAATAAATTTCGAGTTTAGCGATGAATCCACGGACGTTGGTGCCTTTCGCGCTAGGATCGAACCCCTCTGGCAGCCTCCGAAGTGCTGCCAAGAGTTTTAGTGTAGCCGGTGCCACCGTCACATGTTGAAATGTCGGTGTCGCTCCTACCGCTGCTGCCGTTGCTGCTGCGTTCATTGCTGCTGTGGCGAATGCCTACTGGTTCGCGATCAACGCCTCGAGTCGTTGAAGAGGCACGCGAGTTTGCTCCTGTTCGGCACAAAGTGCGGCGATTTCTGCACGAAATTATTGCCGCCCTTCTATGCCAGACATGCTTGTTCATAAACCGGTTGAAGGGGGACATCAAAATCTATGCGGAACTCGTTTACGTACCCGATTCGGTGCTTTTCGTGGTCGCCCTCTGTGGTTTTTCTTGAGGCTGGGTTTTAGCGATTGAAGAACATCGCGTGCAAACGAGCTCTGATTACCAAGTGTGAGGATCGAAGGATCGAGTTCTGTTTTTTATCATGAATCTTGAGTACAACCTAGTGGCTATATATGTAGTCACAAAACAAAGCAAGTAACTCAATGTGAGAAACTAGGAATGAGAGGAATTTCGAGACTAGTGAGGAGGGGGGTACAAGTACTAAACCTAATTAGGGTTGTACCCCCTACGGTGTACCCCATGATAGCCTAGCAAGTACAAATGTGATTTTGACACACCCCTATAGGCTAAGCGGGGAACAACCAGATGGTCACACGACCAGTCAAGCAAGAGAACAAAGGAAAGGAAAGGCCAGGGTGGATCTCAAGGATACCACACAGTTCAGGCACAAGTAAGCGGCCACAAGGCCAGTTCACATACAGAGTTATAAGAGCAAGGCAGTACACAAATTACAACTTGTCAATGGGAGTGTTGTATGGCCCCATCCTCGCTTGGGCGGAGCTGACCTTGTGGTCGGATGTGCGGGGGTTGCAGGCGACCTTCAGCAGTGGGCACGGGGGCCAGTGCAAGGGTGCCGAGCAGGAGGACGCCGTAATGGACGTCTGGTTGACGTCCTAGACGCCTTGGCGGCGTCCAGGGAAGCTGGACACCGACCGGGACGTCTGCATGGCGTCCTGGGAGGCTAGACACCGACCGGGGCGTCCGCGCACCGTCCTAAGAGGCCGAACGCGGACCTGGGCGTTTGGTCGGCGTTCTCGGAGGCTGGACGCCGCCCTGAAGGTGTGCACAGCGTCCTGGGCGCCTGGACACCGACCTAGGCGTCTGGTCGGCGCCCTGGACGACTACACACCGGATTGAAGACGCCAGGCATGTGCAGCCGGCGATAGACAGGGCTGGTCGACTAGGCGCGGTTGCCTGGTCGACCGGAATACCCGGGCGACGTGTGCGAAGGTCGCCAGGGTGACTTCTGCGAGGCCGGCCTCTGGGGTGGTATCCCTAGGTCGACGTGGCTGGTAGGCACAGTCGCTGGTGTGGAGTCTGCCAAGCGTCTGCGCTGTGCTCGTGACAAGCTGTGGAGCGCCAACCAGCTGCGCGCACCTGCGAAGCAGGTGCACTGTTGTCCTGCAGGTGCAACACTGTGCAACCGACTTGCTGCAGCGTTGGCACACCGTGGACTTGCAACGCATGCGAACCGCTACTATGCAACGCAGGAGCGGTGCGAGCGCTGCTGCGCTGGAGCGCGGTCGACCATGTTGCGCTGGAGGTCGACCAGCAGCGTTACTAGGTCTGATGTAGTCTTGCATGCCAATGTTGTTACAATCATTGTTGTCAACCTTTCTTAGTAAAAATCTTGCCAAATTGCCTCGTGAACTAGCAAGCAGTGTGTGCACTAGGAAAACGACTAAGGAACAACGAACGCAGAGATCACACGAGCATTTGTGCCTAACCCGTAACCTAGCTCCCGTTGCTAAAGTTATCTCCGCACAACCTAGCAAGTGTAAACATGCAGGTATAAAGATATATAGCAGTGTACAACAAGGACAAGTCAAAAAACCAGCAGGTGAGGCAGAGTAGGCAGAAGCCCTAGAATAGTGCAAAAGCGCTGATGATCACCAAACCCAAGGGCCTTGGTGAAGACATCAGCACTGTTAGCCCGGAAGGCCACGTAAGCAAGGCGCAGCCGACCACGCTACTACAGCTCACGCACAAGGAAGTAGTGAAGAGCAATGTGCTTCGTTCTATACTCCAATCTCTACTCGCGACACAACGCAAGCATGGCCTTGTTGTCGACATACAGAACTGGAGGAGAACAAGGCCGCTCCCCCAAGTCGGCCAGCAAGTAGGTCAGTCCGCGTTACTCCTATGCGGCCATAGCCCCAGCGTAGATCTCGGCCTCACTGCTGGAACCAAGCATAGAAGAAGAACGAGTGGACCTTCACGAGATAGAGTCAGAGCCAAGACTGAAGGTATAACCCTGCGACGAACGCAGAGTCGCCTGGTCGTCGGCCCAAGAAGCGTCGGAGTGCCCTGTAGGTACCACTAAACCCCGTCCTCCAAGCGCGAGCCCCATGCCTGATGCGCTGCACAAGTAATGCAGTTCCCTCTTCGCAACATCCCACTGCACCTTTTGATGTCTACCGGGGGCCACGTAGCGTGTTAGAAAAGGCTGAGAGGGTACGCAAGGTCAGGTCATGTGCATGTCATCAGGTACATGAGGCAACCTACAAGCTTTGGATACGGACCACTAGACTCTACGGACTCGTCTGAAGGTGGAGCTGAGAGCGAGTGGCCTGTAGGCAGAGGAGTAGGCTGTGGCGAGGAGAACTGGAAGCGGAAGCGCTGGAGGACCTGGTGCACCATATGTGACTAAGTCATGGTGATGGTGCACCGTACTCTGTCCCAGGTGATCTGCAAGCCAAGATAGCTCCACAGCTCACCCAAGTCAGTGCAGGTGTGTCTCTCATGCAGCTCCGCCTTCACTAGGGCCAGCGCCTCAGTATCAGCAGTTGCAAAGACCAAGTCGTCGACGTACACGAGAACATAGAATGGCGTCAGGGTAATGTCGGTGTGTAGAAACAGCGACGGGTCAGCTGGGGAAGGAGAAAACCCAAAAGCCGCAAGTGTCATCCTCAGTGTGTCGTGCCACTCCCGGGGCGCCAGGCGAAGACCGTAGACTGGCCACCGGAGACTCCACTGGGTACCCGCAAGAAACGACTTAGTGAAGCCAGGTGGGCGGTGCAGCCAGATCTCCTCGTGAAGGCTGCCCTACAAGAAAGCTGTGGAGAAGTCGAGGGAGTGCAGCTCGTAGTCACGCTGTGCTGTAACATGCAGCAACATTTGAAGAGTAGTCATCTTCAGGGTGGGTAAGAAGGTCTGGAAGTAGTCGACCCCCTGTGGCTGTCTGAAGCCTCGAGCAACATTACGCGCCTTGAAGACAGGCAGAGAACCCGACGGCCGCTTCACTCTGAAAATCCACATGCCATCGACGATGTCCGCCCCAGTAGGAGGAACCTCGTTGAGGTAGGTGCCTGTGGACTTCCAGGAACCCATCTCTGCATCCATGGCTGTCTGCCACTGAGAGGAGTACTCACCCACGATCGCCTCAGCGTAAGTGCGCGGGGTAGGGATGTCAAGTGCATTTGGGTCTCCCTCAGGGCAAAGCAGCACGTATGCAAAACGAGGTAAAACAGCCGCAAGACACTCAAGCTCAAACTGCCTGTCCTTAAGGACGTCACTGCCAAGGGTAGGCTCACCCCCAATGGACGGAGGACAGACAGACTCAGACTCAGTAACAAGACTCGCGACGTAGTCGAGACGACTGCGAGCAGCAAAGTCGACAAGCTCAGTGACTAGGGCAAACGCAGCAGTAGACTTAAACGCAGGGTTAGTGATGACTGTAGCAAGGAGACGAATGTCAGTAGGACTGGCAGCACGAGCAAGGTCTGACGCAGTGTCAGGAACAAGAGGAAGAGAGGACGCCAGAGGAGACAGCTGGGGAACACTCTGTGGAACAAAGGAAGGTCGAAGTGTCATAACGTGTGTGCCTGGGACAGGTGGAGGACGAGGACGAGTGACCCGACGAGCACGAACAGGAGTGGAAGCACAAGTCTCGGGCTCACGACGCTCAGTCAGGGACTAAGTCACCTCAGTGGGAGGGGCAGGAGTAGGCAGTGGGGAGCTAGGCAGTAGCTGTGGCAGAGACTGGTTTGTCGGTGGACACAGGAGAGGTGGAGTGAGGCCAGTGGAAGACGGGAGACTAAGAACCTGGCGAAGGGCCGAGTCAGGTGGTGGAAGGGACGACTGCGGCTGCAGGTAGAAAAACGGTCGGCTCGGCGTTGAAGCCGTACCGTCAGCAGCTCCAGCAGCTCTAGTGCCTCCAGCTCCAGCACTTCTAGCACCAGCACCTCCAGCACTAGCAGCTCCAGCACCTCCAGCACATGCAGCACCTCCAGTAGTACCTCTAGTATCTCCAGCACCAGCAGCACCTCCAGCGATAGCAGCTCCGGCACGTCTAGCACCTGCAGCACCTCCAGCACTAGCAGCTCCAGTACCTCCAGTAGTACCTCTAGCACCTCCAGCACCAGTAGCACCTCCAACACTAGCAGCACCTCCAGGACTAGAAGCTCTAGCATCTCCAGTACCTCCAGCAGTACCCCCCGGACTAGCAGCTCCAGCACCTCCAGCACCAGCAAGACCTCCAAGACTAGTAGCTCCAGCACCAGCAGCACGTCCGGGAGTACCTCCAACACCAGCACCACCACCAGGACGGCTACGCCGAACGATCTACTCACGAATCTGCTGCGACGAGAGTGACCCGACTAGACCAGGCTGCTGTGGCGGTCCAGCTCCTGGACCTCTAGCAGGGTCACCCACAGCTCCACCGTCACTAGAACTCGCAGCACCCCCATAGTCAGCACCCCCAGACGAAGCACCGCCAGAACCCTCACCCTCGGTCTCAGCACCCCTAGAACCCTCACCCCCAGAGTTACTGCCAGCAGCATCTCCAGAGTCCAAAGTAGCAGGTTGCGGAGGCAGAAAAGGCGGCCGCGGTGGAAAGCCCGGGGGGGTCTCCAAGCGTTGAGAGCGGGGACGAGCCGCCGTGTCGTCCGCGGCGGGGTCACCCCCCTCAGCTGGGCCAGAGGAGTCCAAAGAGATCTCTACAGGCTCATCCAAGGCGGGTGGGTCTACCTGAGACACATCTGAGGGAGCGGAACCACCACGGCCTCCACCCTCGCTAGCTCCACCCCGACCTTCTCCACCACCCCCGCCGCCTCCCCCACCCCCGCCGCCTCCACTGCCTTCACCTACCGAGCCACCCCCACCGCCTCTACCCCCGCCACCACCACCCTCGCCACCTCCTCCGTTGGTGCCACCTCCACCCCCCTTGCCCCCTTTGCCCTTGCTGTTGTTGCGCCTTCTACTAGGAGCAGACGCAGCGCCAACTTCCTCAGCAGCAGAAGCAACTGAGGGGAGGAGAGGGGAGAGAGCACACCCTTTAAAGAAGGGGGAGCAGAAAGTGCCGCGAGAGGCAGCGATAGCGACAATGCTAAGAGAAGGGACTTCTCGAGCGAGTCAAGCGTGATCTTTGTGGGGTCAAGGGCTAGGAACTGGTCCGTAACAGTACGAAGGGAGTCAGGGAGGCGAGTAACGAGGAAGTACAGGGTCATATACAGCGTGGGGGGGGGGGGGGGGGGGGGGGGGTTGCAGCAAGAAAGGTTGGCTTGAGAGCGGCGCGGTAGCGAGTCTCACTAGAGCGGAGGTGGATAAAGAGGTCAGAGACAGTGTGGAAATCGGCTAGCTCGGGATGCAGGTACGGTAGCATGAGACAGCCTAGGGCAGCAGTAGCTGGAAAGAAGTAGCAAGCTACTACATCATCATAGAGGGCCTTGGCTGTTTTCTGCTGGCTAAAGTGCGCGCGCTCAGCTACGCGCAGGTGCTTGCGGACAGCAAGGCGGGTAGTGGCGTCACGCATGAGCCACTTTGAATGATCCTCTACCGCTGTGGCAGCTGGGGCTGGGAGGTTCCTTTGGTATGCAAGAACAGTGAAATTCTGTCCCTAGCCTCGCTCTGCAGGTAGAGCTGGAGATCATCGAGCCAAACATCAAAGAAAATCGTGAGACCCTCAGCGGCAAAACTAAGTACTAAGAAGTTAGCCATAGCTGCAATAGCAACTGTAGCAGTAGCTGCAGCAACAGTGGCAGTAACATCAGCAGACACAGTAGTAGGAGCAGTAGGGTAGTGCTGCTTAGGCAGGGCGGCGCGGCTCAGCAGGGCGGTGCGGCTCGGCAGGGCGGCGCGGCTCGGGCTGGGAAGGGCGCAGCAGCAGTAGCAGCAAAAGCAGTGGCAACAAGTAGCAGCAGCAGCAAGGAGCAGTAGCCGTAGCAAGGAGCAGCAGCTGCAACAAGTAGCAGCAACAGGAGCGCTCAGGAGGAGGCGCGTAGGCAGGGCGCAGGCAGCTGGCGGGTAGTGCAAGCAGCGCGCTGGGCAGCAGGGGCGCGTGGGGTGCGCACGAGCAGGGCGCAGGCCGGGCGCAGATTGCTGGCGGGCAGCACGAGCGGCGCGTTGGGCAGCAGGCACATGTGGGGTGCGCGCGGGCAGGGCGCAGGTCGCTGGCGGGCAGCGCGAGCGGTGCGCTGGGCAGCAGGAGCGCGGGCAGGGGGGTGCGCGACAGTGCACAACAGTGCGCAGGCAGGGGGGTTCGCGACAGTGCGAGAAAAAATTATAGCCCGCTGGCGGCAGGGCAGCCCAACGCGCTTCTGGCAGAGCAGTAGGGAAGCGCAGTAGCGCTTCAAGTGTGCCCTAGTAGGTGGCGTAGCCTACTCATATATCATATGAGAAACTAGGAATGAGAGGAATGTCGAGACTAGTGAGGAGGGGGGTACAATGACTAAACCTAATTAGGATTGTAACCCCTACGGTGTACCCCAGGATAGCCTAGCAAGTAAAAGTGTGATTTTGACGCTCAGAGGTTACTAGAAAGTACCAAGCCTCGGGATCTGTCCGGAACGTAGCATTCCCGAATTTAATAGTAGGTTTTTGGTCGAAGTCACATGCTCGCACAGTCACGCCGAAATAACCAAAATGCCACTGGATTCCATGCACACAACCTAGATCGGTGCTACAACTGTAATAGATATAGTGAAGCAACATTTTTTTGGAAACAAGCATAGAAAAGCATAATGCAAAGGTAGAGCGCGCAGCTAGCAGGGCGCGGGCTGGCAAGAAGGGCGCGCGCTGGCTGGCCGGTTGCACTGCTAGCATCCCGATCTCGCACATGCGGGGGGTGCGTTGCTAGCACAGCTCACAACTGGAGCTGAGAACTGAAGACGAGCGTGTAGAACGCCAAGAAACTGAACCAGAGCCAAGGCTGAAGTATAACTCTGTGATGACCGCTGTGTAGCCTGGTCGTCAACCCAAGAAGCGCCTGAGTGCCCACTGAGGACTACGTTGCACCGTCCTCCAAGCACGAGCCCCATGCCCGATGTACAGCACAAGTAGCGTAGTACCCTCTTAGAAGCATCCATGTGCACCTTTCAGTGCCTACCAGGAGCCACGTAGCGAGCCAGAAGGCCAAGAGGATACGCAAGGTCAGGACGAGTGCAGGTCATCAGGTAAATGAGGCAGCCGACTAGCTCTGGGTAAGGACCACTCGGCTCTACGGACTCGTCCGAAGGTGGAGCTAAGAGCGAGTGACCTGTAGCCAGAGGAGTGGCCTGTGCTGAGGACCAGGTGAAGCCGAAGCGCTGAAGGACCTGCTCCACCATGTGTGACAGAGTCAGTGTGATGGTGCGGCATGTCAAACCAATATGCTATGGTCTATCTAGGCTGTAGCGGGGTCGACACTATAGGGTACAACATTTCTAGGTTTCCTACTTGTACCCACATTTTCCTTAGTCATTTCATTCCTCATTTCTTCACATGGTATAGAGCAGGTTCCCTAGTGGGAACGCTTCTTAGGGCCCACCACTAAAATCGATTTTTTTTTTTTTTCGTAATCGGAGCGCGAGTCGCCCCTGCCCGAGGCGCGCCCCGTAGGCCGCCCTCCCGTCGCGTCCCCTGCCCTTAGCGGCCTGTCGCGCCCTCCTAGAGGCCCCTCTCACGGCCCCTCGCGCCACCCTTGGCAGCCCCGTCGCCACCCCTAGCGGCCCCGTCGCCACCCTATACGGCCCCGTCGCCGTCCTTTACGGCCCCGTCGCCGCCCTTCTAGGTCCCTCGCGGCCACTTCGCGGCCCCGTCGCCGCCCCTAGCGGCCCCGTCGCCGCCCTTCGAGGCCCCACGCGGCCCCTTTGCGACCCCGTCGCCGCCCCTAGCGGCCCCGTTGCCGCCCCTATCGGCCCCGTCGCAGCCCTTCACAGCCCCGTCGCCGCCCTTCGCAGCCCCGTCGCCGCCCCTAGCGGCCCCGTCACCGCCCTTCGCGGCCCCTCGAGGCCTCTTCTTGGCCCCATCACCGCCCTTTGTGGCCCCGTCGCCACCCTTCCCAGCGCCTCCTCGGCTCCTCCGCCACCAGCAGCAGCCGCCGCCAGCAGCACTCGCCACCAGCAGCAGCCGACAACAGCAGAACCCGCCGACACCAGCGGTGGCCACCACCAGCAGCAGCCATCGCCGCGGACAGCAGGAGCTACCGCCGCAGTCGCGGCTCTGTCCCTACCGACGCCCCTTGGCCCTGCCCCACCGCTTGCAGCCCCTCACTCCTCCGAGTTTCCTCCGACAGAGGCTCCACTGCAGACTCTTCATATTGACGTGTGGGGCCCCGCCCACGTCCGTGGCCAAGGTCACGAGCGTTACTTCCTGTTGGTGGTTGACGACTACTCGCGTTACACCACAGTCTTCCCCTTGCGCAGCAACGGTGAAGTCACTGAGGTGTTGATCGACTGGATCCGGGCGGCTCATCTCCAGCTCAGAGAGACTTTTGGCTCGGACTTTCCTGTTCTGCGTCTGCACTCTAACAGAGGCGGAGAGTTTTCCTCTGCCCGTCTGGGAGCCTTCTGTCGTGCAGAGGGCATCCGCCAGACCTTCACGCTTCCGGCCTCTCCACAGCAAAATGGGATTGTTGAGCGCCGCATTGGCATGGTCATGGACGTCGCTCGTACGTCCATGATCCATGCGGCTGCTCCCCATTTTTTGTGGCCGTTTGCGGTTCAGTACGCAGCGCATCAAATCAACCTTCAGCCCCGGGTCTCCTTGCCGGAGACCTCCCCCACCTTGCAGTGGACGAGGAAGGTTAGCGATGCGTCTGCGTTTCGTGTCTGGGGATCTCGGGCGTTTGTCCGCGACTTGTCTGCGGACAAGCTGTCCCCCCGTGCAGTTCCCTGCGTCTCCCTTGGCTTCCCCCCAGGCGCGCTTGGTTGGCAGTTTTACCACCCCACCTCGTGCCGTGTTCTGTCCTCCCACCTGGGGCGAACATCGTCAGTGGCATGTGGATTTTCTGGGTGAAGCGGCCGCCGGGTTCTCCGCCAATCTTCAATGCGCGTTACGTGGCTCGAGGCTTCAGTCAGCGGCAGGGAGTTGACTACTTTCAGACCTTCTCTCCCACCCCGAAGATGACCACCCTTCGGGTGCTGCTACACATACCCGCTCAGCGCGACTACGAGCTTCACTCTCTTGACTTCAGCACTACTTTCCTACAGGGCAG